GAGGCACGCTCCTCGAGGACATCACGAGGTTGGAAGGGATCACCAAAGGGGTTATCCATCGTGGGCACGGCACTCGCCTGATATCAGTCGTCATCTACCACTACTCACACTGGAAGAAGGGGCCAACCTTGGATGCAGCATGATGCTCGACCCCACCCTGCTGGGCCAGCTTTACTGCAGCAGCAGCTGCCTCAGCGATAGACGTCCCCATGCTACTCTGCCCTCCTTGTGAGGTATCTACAAGAAGGCTGCATACCATACATCGAATGCCCGACTATTACTATCCCCTGTCCGTTGCCTTTTCCATTGTAAACCCTCCTGTCCACTACTCTCACTAGGACTAGCACTACTATGACCAGATTGTTGTTGTTGGGCCGCTGCTGTACGGTTGACCCTTAAGGGCTCTATCGTTGCATGTGTACCCGCTTTTTGTTTAACCTGGCATGTAATAAGAGTTAAGATATCCTCCCCTCTACCGTACATGAAGTGGAGCCTTCATCCCTTGTTCCTGCCGGCCTAGACCGCTACCTGGCTGCCATCCCATCTTCTCTAGTAGAGCCCTACCCTTATTTAACTTGGAGTTGGTGGTATTAGCCATGAAAAAGACATTGAAAACTGTAAAGACACTAAAAGACTCGAGAGGGTATTCGAGGGGGCCTCTACAACAAGCAAACACGAAGTGATAGAGTCTCGATACAACACCCTTGTTCACAGCTGTGAACATCCATTCCATACCCCCTGACTCAATGAGCCTCCAATATATCGTATATCCTACCTCGCCGTCGATGAGGGGTACAAGTAGTAGGACATGGTCATTGTACTAACCTCTGATGGCTGAGTAGCGGTTATGATCCCATTTGGTAGGACCACAATACTACCTAACCATATGTCGATGATAATCCATGATGACGCCAGTGGAGTGGGGTCGACTGAACTCAAGCATGAGGTTGATGATGATCATGATAGCATGCACAACAACAATTGAGTACCGAAGCTGAAGCCTCAGTGCTAACAACGATCACAGAGCGATGCTGCTGCTAACAACAACTTAAAAATGCCTATGCCTCATCGTTAATGATTATCCTGCTTAGAGGAGTACAAAATCGTCATCTATTACATGGTAAGGGTCTACATAAGCTATAGGAGATGATGCCTCACCAAGATGAAGGGGTGTGACGTCCTCTAGGAGTGTCCAATCACCATCCGTGATCACCTCCTCCTCAGTGCGCTCATCATCATCATCATTAACCTCAGCCGAACTAGCCTGATCACTACTAGGAGTAGCAGAAGGAGTGGGAAGGCTCGGCAGGCCATGAGAAGAGCTCCCTCCAGATGGGGTGTAGTGGCCTGTCGTCGATGATGACGATGATACAATCGGGGCCGCCACTAGAGATGCCCAGTCAATGAGGATATCATGATGGTTTAGGATGTCCCCATGTAGCCTATAGAATGCATCCTGATGGTGGAGGAGTATAGAGTCCTCTACACAGGAGGGGATGAGCTGCTTGAGACCATCGGGACGGAAGCGTCGGTAATCCTCCTCCTCCTTATGAGGTATACGATTACTACTACTGCACAGAGGTCTCTTCCCCACCCCATCAATGTTGATAGCGTGTAGCTGCTGTCTACGCTGAGAGGAAGGGATACGTTGCATGTTGAACTCTCCCAAAATCGAGGGGATACTAGAATCATATTCCCACTCTGTGATGGCCTTTCTATAGGCTACCCTAGGTACGAACGGGTCCTCGGGAATGGAACAGGATACATGACGGCCGAGATCATTATCGTAATCATCGTCATCAGCGAACCACCTGGGGAAGTCGATACACACTAGGAGCGGCGATAGGGGGTCTTACAAGGGGAACGACGTTCTGGTGATGGTAGTCGGCATCATACGGAAGAGGCAGAGTAGATCCAGCGGGCTAGTAGGGAATAAATGATGTTGAACTGCGATGATGCTACTGCTACTGCAACCTCCTATAACACAACTCCTATTCCTCCGTCTCCCAGATACATATGACGGTATTAACATGACGTCAGTCGCTCAATATTCGATCCCTCTCATGCTCAGCCCTCATCCCGGTTTCCATCGCCACCATTCTCATTCGTCCCGGGATGATCGATAACCCCGATCATATGTACACTACCCAGCATTATCATTCCTCCTCCTTCTCCCATACTACCATCACACTTGGGGAATCCTGACTTCAACGGGTACTCGGTATGTTCAAGACTAGTTTGAATGGTAAGTGGATTGTCACACTTTAAAAAAGGTAAACTCATAAATGCGTGTCGTGTAGTACGAAGCAACCTCCTCCGCGCGTTGATGATTACACCCCGAGGTTTGCTGCCTATAAGTTTGTCTATACTCCTATAGTCTACAGCTACTAACCGAGCCATCTCTGGAGATATCGACGGCATCGAACGTAGAATGGAATCACCAACGTATGATGATAATTGCCTCGGATATGTACATATGGCGGCGTGATAGTGTACAACACGAGGAGGTGTAGTCCTCGGCGGCCCTCACAGTATTGTGAGGGAGAAGGCAGCACTGTCTACTTGGATTCAACAGAGTATATCGTGGTATACACAGTAAGGATCAGATCAACTATAGCGGTGAGCATGAATGTAGTAGAAGTGGGGACCTCATACCTAATAGACGCATTGGGATCAGGAAGTTGAGGAGGGTCGCAGAAGGTGTTGATACGTAAGCCTTGAACTAAGTTAGGGCAAACAGTCAATCTTCGGGCCTCTGTATTGTCCACGCGTGCACACGCAAATCTTGAGTTCTTCGCACAACCTTTCAACGTCCCTCAGCCACAAATTTCTGGGCGCGCGCCGATTGAAGACGCAGTTTCATTGAAACTGTTCTAGTAAGTTGATGATCAACTTCAACCATCTGACTTGAGTTGCGGTCGGATCGAATTTGGGCCTGCCGTCATTTATAAATCCCTCCCACTAGTGTGATCACCAAGGCTGGCTCGACGGTATGAGTCCTAGACTTGTCACCAGGTGCGGTAGTGTTGCAATCTTATGTAACGGTGTAACCGCGTGGCGAGCGAGAGGGCTGACTAGAACATACTATCGATAATGACTGCGAATAAAGTATCGTGCATTCTAGAGTCGTAGTGTAGTATGCATTATGATGACTGTTAGAGCGAGCTGAATCCCATTCGTTTGCAGCTTCGTTCCATCTATCTCTAATTGACCTTCTACGGTTCTCCGTACCTTCAATTGGAGTTGCGTAAGCTATGACCAACAACGGCAGTGATGCTTCGAACGGTGAAGAACCCTCTGTAACTGAATTCGTGTCTCCCTCTGGTTCGACCCTCATCTGTGGTGGTGCTGTTCCCGGCACAGGATTAGAGATATCGACTGAAGCAAGAGCTTTAGCCCAAAGTGTCAGTGAAGCCAGACTTGCACAAGAAGTTCTGACCCTTCGAGAAGAACTCAACAAGATCAAGCAGCAGGTGTGCCAAGTGACCAAGTGTAACGGAGAAGCAACTCTCAGTTCCCTCCAAACTGCAGGAAACGTGGTAGCCAACGTCATCCGTGGGAATGGTATGGTCGGTCAAAATAGTCCGATCTATTATATCTACGAGTCTGTGAACATTTCTAAAGAGATCTCCGACAAGTATTGGGTTGCATCGATACCACAGCTCTATGAGGAGGTCTGCAGAAATGAGCCTACCCCGTTCCGCGCGCTCTTCAAGGGTGCCAAGAAGGATACTTATGAAGATCTCGGTAGGGCCTTGCTCGAGACGGTTACTATGCTCGAGAAGTCCTGGAACTTTCCGTTGGATATCATAGTGGCTCTATTGCTACATCATGTCTACCAGTACGGTAATGGCATTCATAAGA